CGGATGCACACAGGCCTGCGAGCCATCTTCCCTTCTCCCTTACTGGGCCTGACCCCCGTGCCTTCTGTGGCTGAGTTCTGACACCTGGTGGTGCTTCTGGAGTGTGGCCCCAGCTTTTTTCCCTCTTCCTACCAACTCCCCACCATTTGCCAGTACCCAGCTAGAGCTGCCAAACCAGCCTGGCCAACCCACAACTCCTCCGCACTGGTTCACACCAGCAGGGCCAGATTGGGATCCAGAATAAACCAGAACCATCTCTCACTCACCTTGGGAGCTTTGCTTATACACTTGAAAGTCAAGTGTCCTTGTCACCTGAGCTCTCAGGCCAGGTAAGCTGGGGGAGCTGGTGCCACACATATGGGAGCCAAGGGAAATAGTAGCCAAAAATGTGCCCAAAACCACAGAGTGAATCCCCGGGACTTTCTTCTCCTTCTACCCCTTGCTGCCTCATATCTCAGTAGCTCTGAGGGTCACTGGGGAGAAGGGAAGACACCAGAGAGAAAAAGGAACTAGAAGGAGAGGGGACAGCTGGAAACTAACTCATGCAGCCTGCAGGCACAGGGCAGGGTGAAGGGGCTGTTATACAAATAAAATCCAAAAGCCCACCCTCAGCAATTCCCAGGGCTCTCACCCTCACCCGAGCACAAGTTCCAGCCAGGCCTCTTGAGAAGAGGGTGACACCATGTGGCTGATTTTGCCACTGCAAGAATTCCTGTTGCCAACTAAATGCTGGGTGTCTATCTTTCCTTGGGTTCAGGACAATAAACGACCTTCTGCCCTTTGCCTGGTACGAACTCCACACACACAGAGGACCACTCAATTGCATGCTTTCAGCCTAACACTCCTACCTCTAACACCCAGCTGAGACGCACTGACCACCTCCCCCCACCCCAGGGCACAGACCCCAAAATCCCACTCCAACTCAGCCAGCTGTGACCCTTGACAAGAGATGTGACCTGTGCCAGCCTCAGGCTCCTCATCTGTAACACAGGGATGCGGCACCTTCAGATGGATGGGACCATCCATGGAAGTGCTTAGCCCCCTGTAGCACTTTAGAAACTGTTCCCTAGGCTGGATGCCAACCTCCCAGCCTGGCACAGAGGGAAGGGAGCAAGGGATAGAGGCCAGGTGGGAGAACCACAAGAGCAAAGGCTCCAGGGCAAGAAAGAGCATGTCCCATTTGGCATAGGTGACATGCTCGGCCTTCCCAGGACCTGTGTGGGGCACAGCTGGTAAGAGTACGGAGCTTGAGCTGGAGTGCAGAGCAGAGAACCAGGCAAGGGCTGAGCCTGCCAGACTTCACAGGCATGAGAAGGCTGTGCTGCGTGGAGGCCCCCAGGCTTTAGTCAAGGAAGTGACAGGACTAGATTTAGACTTCTAGGTCCCACTTGAAGCTGCTGTGGAGGGGGACTGGAGAGGTCAGGAAACAGGACAGGCAGGTGTCGGGAGCCATTCTACATAATTTTGGGGAAAATCATATCACAATTAAATTATGATTAGGCCTAATCTTCTTTCTTTCTTTTTTTTTTTTTTTTTGGTACCAGGGATCAAACTCGGGTCCTTGTGCTTGCGCAGCAGGCGGGGAAACCACTGAGCTAAATCCCCAGCCCCTAGGCCTAATCTTCTTGCCTATAGATTGGAGTACCAAAACATAACTCCATTTTTGCCTCCAGTCACAGCTGAGACCTCAATGGCACCATAATGCTATGACGCTCAAGGACAAGATTACATCAGCTGAAGACATCCTGGTTCCTTGAGAACCCAGTAGTAAGAGAAAGCTTTCACCTGGGCAGGGACAAATTCCTTATCAGCTTAACTCATCCCACCTACTGTTATAAAACCATTTTTTTGCTCCTCTTATCATCCTAATCAACATAAGATCCTCATCAAGAGTCAGGTGTGTAAACCAGCCCGAGTGGCAGCTGCGGCAGCAGCAGCAGCGGTGGCAGCAGCAGCAGCGGCAGGAGCGCCGCGGCGCCGGGAGCAGCGACCCGGAGAGAGCGCGGGGTGACGCTGGCTGTGGCGACCCGGTGACAGCATGAGAGGTACTCAATTTGACAAGTTGGCATCATGTGTGAGTATAAGCTAGTCGTTCTTGGCTCAGGAGGCGTTGGAAAGTCTGCTCTGACTGTACAATTTGTTCAAGGAATTTTTGTTGAAAAATATGATCCTACGATAGATTCTTATAGAAACCAAGTTGAAGTAGATGCATGCACAGCAGTGTATGCTTGAAATTTTGGATACTGCAGGAACGGAACAATTTACAGCAATGAGAGATTTGTACATGAAAAATGGACAAGGCTTTGCTTTAGTTTATTCCATCACAGCACAGTCCACATTTAATGATTTACAAGATCTGAGAGAACAGATTCTTTGAGTTAAAGACACTGATGATGTTCCAATGATTCTGGTGGGTAATAAATGCGACTTGGAAGATGAAAGAGTTGTAGGAAAGGAACAAGGTCAAAATCTAGCAAGACAGTGGAACAACTGTGCATTCTTAGAATTTTCTGCAAAATCAAAAATAAATGTTAATGAGATCTTTTATGACCTAGTGCGGCAAATTAACAGAAAAACTCCAGTGTCTGGGGAGGCCTGCAAAAAGTCGTCATGTCAGCTGCTTTAATGTACTAAATTCATTGTAGCTCTGAGCCAGATCTGAAGAACTGTTGCCCAATTCAACAGTGCCAGCATTCCAACTTTGTTAAACCTACCAACATCTTAAATGGACTTTCCTGTGGTGGTACCCTTTAAGAGGTGGATGAAAGCTACTATATCAGTTTGCACATTCTAATCACTTTCCAGTATCACAAGAGAGATTTTTACTTATATAATAGTCATAGAGTATGCAGCTGGCAAAACCAGAGGCTACATCCAGTATTACTGCTAAGAGACACTTCTTCATCCACCAATGTTGTACATATATGAAAATGGTGTACTGTATACTTTAACACACCCCATACTTTGTATTGGAGAGTACAACAATGTAAATCCTAAAAGCACCACTATTTTAGCATAATAAAAGAAAGTCCAAAGAGCTCCTATATAGACTACTCCAGATAACTTTGCTTCTTTGATACTTGTAGCTTATTATAATTTTTTTAAATCAAGGTCATTATCATTGTATTGTACAAAATAAGTGCTTTGATTAATACAGCTATATAATTTTTATATTTTCAAAAACCTGTGGAGACAGTGATCTTGTCTTTAAAATATGATAGTCCTCTCAGTATAATGTCTTAGATTAAAGACGTTGCCTTTAATATCTGTTGGGAAGGAAATGTCCAGACTTTTCAAATTCCCTTATTATGTTTCCTTTTTTGTTTACATAGGGAACAATGTTTATAGTTGTGTGTACAGTGGGGGGGTCTATAACAAGAAGTGTATATTTTCAAACAATTTTTTAATGATTTAACTATTTTTGTAAATCATTTTCAGGCTTCTACAGCTACAGATTCTCACTGTGAATCCCTTGCTTGCTCATGCATAAGTGTATTTGCAATACCAAATATATAGGTTTAGTATTTTTGCCTGTTAGTGATTGTTTCACATGTGTAACATTTTGGTTGAGATGTTAAATGGTGGATGAGTACTGTGGATGTGAATGTGGGAAGTAATTTTAATCATGTGTAATTGGTCACAAGGCCTAATTTGCAGTAACTATTGCTGTTTTATTTAACAATGCCTTGATGCTTTGTATGCATTAATGTTTGGGTGTAAAGATTGTGTGTCTATCCAACAGGGAGCCACAGTATTTAAATCAACCAACCTAATGTTACAACTACTTTGAGGTGGCCAAATGTAAACTGAAAGCCTTAATTAAAGTGGTGCAATTTTGTATAACTTAGCATCAGGAGTTCAATAAATTTGGATTGCCATGCAAAAAAAAAAAAGATCCTCATCAGCATAAGACCTTCATGGTCCTAGGATTACTGCCATGCTCCCGAGATATCTGATACTTCCTTTGATTATAAGAGCCTTGTCATTTTAGGATTATTGCTGCCCCCAGAGTCATCTGTTACTCCCTATGAACCCAATAAATAGTGGCAAGCTCCGGGTGCCTTTGTCTTTGCTTCCCAGAGCAGCACTGCTTAGCCCCAGAACCCAGCTTCTTCTCGAAGTCTCATTTCTTGTCTTTATTCTTTAATTCACCTTTTGATGTCATGGCTCACAGGAGACCAGGACCCACTGCAGAGGTTCTGTTAATGCCCTGGTTCCCTGTTCCCTACAGGTGGGGGCTGCTGCCAGCCATCCAGATGAGAGCTGAGGACTGCTGAATCGGGTGACAGATGCTGAGATGTTCAGTGACTCCAACTGCATCTGTCAATCGGTGAGATGGACAAAGGAGAGGCCACTTGGGTGGGTGGGTGGGTGGTGGTGTCTGTCACAGAGAGGGATGCAGGGCCTCCTGATGATTTCCCTGTGTGGCTCAGCTTCTCTGTGGTGGTAACTGCCTCACCTTAGGTCCCTCCAGGAGTACATGGGAATAGCCATTGAAAGAGTCTGGCAGCCAGCAGGCCCTATGCTAACTCTGATTCAGGCCCTCTTAAAGTCACCCCAAATTGCCAGTAGGGGAGGACTGTAGCTTGGTTTCTTTGCAGCACAACCAGAGCCAGGCACATGCCAGCCACACTCCTCCCACATACTAATCACGTGACTTCCACCACCTGTCCATGTACCTCAAACACACAACCTTCACACAACTTCCCCACCCCAGCCACATGCCACTCACACATGTCCTATACTACCCATACACCTTCCACATGCCATCCACACATGTCACCTGTCACCCTCACATAAGCTACATGTCATCTCCATGCCACATGCTACCCACACTCCCACATGCATGAGTCCCATGCAGGGAGCTCAGCCTCTCGCCCCAGATGAGAACCCTGCTCAGGTCAGGGCCACAAGGACAAGTGTCCAGCACAGGGCCACCTGCCCAGGAGCCCCTCTCCCTCTCCGCAACAGCCTCCCAAGCCTCAGGTGCCAGTGCTTACCTTTGCAGGTGCAGCCCTCCCGGGTGATGGCCTGGCGGCAGATGCCACAGGGCTTCACCTTCTTGAAGGTCTTCACCTTGAAGTGGTGGGTCTTGGGGGCCTCTAGGTCCTCTGGCTGTGAGAGGAGAGGCACAGGGGTCAGGCAGGGTGAAGGCTGGGGTTTTCAGGAGGTATTGGGGGCTCTGGAGAAGCAGTAGGCAGGACAAGGGGAGAGGAGAGGGATGAGCCTGCTTGTGGGCTACAGAAAGAAGGAAGTGCCCAGGGACAGATAACAGTGTGGGGGTGACAGGACACTCATCCAGGCTTCCAGACTTGCATGGTTCAGCGATCAGGGTTCAGATAGCAACTAGAGGCCCCAGTGCCCAGGGATGGCAGGCCCCTCCATGGCTTCCCATTCACCATTTAAATTACTTCTTTATTAGGGCATGATTTACTCACAGGAAAGTGCACTAAGTTTAAATGTAAAAATATATTACTAATTGGGCTGGGGATCCAGCTCAGTGGGAGGGCACTTGCCAAGCATTTGTGAGGCACTGGAGTCCATCACCAGGGTCGCCCCAAAAGCATTGTTTAATACACCTTTATAATTATGCACCCCATGTGGCCACACCCAAAAAGCTCCCTCATGTCCCCTCCCAGTAGGCCTCCCCCAACATAAATGCTACTGGGACTTCCCTCGCCAAAGAATCATTTTGCCAGGCTTTTAAACTTCATAGCAATGGACCAGACAGTGTGTCCTCTCGTGTCTGACTTCCCTCTGGCAACAGTGATCTATGAGACCATCTGTGTTGTCACGTAAAGCAGCTGCTCCTTCTGTCTCAGTGCCGTGTGGCATGCCACTGTCTGAATGCAGTAGTCGCATGGTTGATGGTCTCCCACCCACATCCCCAGCATGCCATTTCCCTCCAGACCCTCTCATCCTCTCTGTCCTCACCCCAGGAGGCCTCTTCCATCTTTAGGTTTATTTCTATTCTTTGCATTATGAAAATATGCATGCACAACTCTTCTGCAATGCTGGGAATCGAACCCAGGGCTTCATGCATGCTAAGCTCACTCTCTGTCAGCGAGCTATACCTCAGTCCTGGGAAAACACAGGAGGTTAAGTTCCTGCTTTAAACTGCACCACCTCATACATGAGAAGAGGACAGGTCTGTGGGCCAAGCTGTCCACTAAATCTGACTTAACAGGACCCCTGGGCCAATTACCACCCCACCCCATCACAGGCCTCAGTTTCCCTTCTAGACAGCACCACATCTCTTTGTAACCACACACGAAATCACACTCTGGGTCACAAAGCCCTCACATCACTGCCCACCCTGCTGCCCCAGCCCAGGGACAGACTAGGGGTGCTCCCTGGTCAGAGGATGCCTCAGGCCCCAAGCATCCCCCTGGTGTCTAACCTGATTCTTTCCCCGGCAGAGGCCAGAGGGGCACAGCAGTTTCCTCCCCCTCTCCCTGGGCACAGATGTCTCTGATATCCCTCTACACTTGCATGGGCACATACAGAGGCAAGATCACAGACCCTGCCATGTGGGCAGGAGGGCTCTGCTCTTCCAAGCTCCCTTCTGTGCTTCTTGCTCTAGCATCTCCCAGCTCTGAGGTGGGGGTAGGAGGGGCTAACTTCGTGCTCCAAGGAAGAAGAATGGCCAACAAGCTCAGCCTGCTTAGGAATGACTCCTATTTGGACACTGGAGGAAAGAGACAGATCCAGAGACAGAGAGGGACTAGGGTGAGAGGGGCAGAGAAAGAGAAAAGCTACAGAGAGGCAGGCAGAGGGGAAAAAGAAGACCAAGATTTTAAAAAGAGACAAGGAAAGAGACCAACAAGTACCCACAATGAGAGAGATTAGATAGAAACACACAGAAACTAAGAGGGGAGCCAGAGGATCAAAGAGGGAGAGACAGACAAAAAGCCACCAGAGGATAGATTGAGTGCAGAAGAAGAGATGATAATTTAACAGTCTCCTATAAAGATAGACATGAATAAAATTTGCAGAAAAGTGATGCCAAAAAAAAAAAAAAAAAAGCCACCAGGGCGCCTAAAGACCAAATCTGGGAACAGCTAAGCATCAAAATACATACAATAGTAACGGCTGAAATGAAGCCATTATGTTATAAAGAAATAGATGAATAAATGGAAGTTTGATGAGAAATGGAGCATTTTTGTAGTCTCAAAGCACTTTCCCCCATCATATTTTATAAATTACAAACTGAGTGGGGGCAAGTTTTCCTGGCAGACTCCACTTCAATCAAGTGATCAAAACGATCACCAGTAATAGGACAAATGGAAGTCGTGCGCCTGGGAGGGGGGCACTGAAAACAGAACATCGCTTCTCCAATGTTCCTGCCAAAAATCTAATCAAGAGGAAACATTAGGCCAAATTGAGGGAAATCTCCAAATTAAAGGCCCTGGAATCTTCTAAAGTGACAAGGTCACAATAATCAAGGAAAGACAGAGGAGATTTCTAGACTGAAGGAGACTCAAAGACAACTCTGCCATGCAACTGCTGATTCTGAACCGGATTCTTTCATGGCCATAAAGGACATCGTGAAGATAACTGGCAAAACTTCCATGGAGTCTGAGGATTAGACTGTTGTAAAGCATTGATGTCATTGTACTAATTTTGATGGCTGTGCTGGATTGGGTAAAAGTACTTGTCAGAAAAATCAGGAAAATATTTAGGGGTGGTGGAGCATCATCTCAGTAACTTATTCTCAAGTAGTTCAGTGGTAAAAAAAGATCTTTGCACTGTACTGCAAACTTTCGAATGTTTGAGATTGTTCTGAAATTCAGAGACAGGGAAAGAAGAGGCAAGGGTACAGGTGGAAAAAGCAGAGGACGCCAGGACCCCAGCAGTGCCCCCTGGTGGCTAGGGAGGGCAGCAGGGATGGTTGGGCAAATCCAGCTAGGAGCTTCTGTAGGGGTGGGGTAAGGAAGCCCTTGGCTTCACTCAGTGTCCCCCCACACAAGGAGGGACAGAGAAGTCCCCTTCATTCTTCTGTGTCCCCCGTATTCCCCTCTCAGCTGCTGGCTGGCAGCCCTTCCCACCAATCTCTGTCACAGACATTCCAGGGAGAGGCCCCAGCCCAAAGTCAACTGCAGCAGCCCTAGCCTGGGCAGGGGAAGGAGCGGGGAGGGAAGTGGGGTTCAGATTCAGGATTACCTGGGAGATCCAGGCAGGAAACCCCCAAGCATTCCCCCTCCCGCTGCCTCAGCACACTCTACCTCTCACACCCACCCTGCCCTGGCTCTGGCTGTGGGGGCTCTGGGACCAGAGTCTGGAGACCTGATTCCAAAGCTGTCATCCCTGAAAGCATCGGTGGCCTTCTCTGGGCCTCACAGTCCCCAAATGCAAATGGGAGTCTTGGACCAGTCAGTCTGACTTAGACTGTGTGGGACATGACAGGACAGTCGCTCTGATGGAGGACTGCGGTGATGAGGTCTGAGGAGACAGTGCCCCTCTGAAGAGACACTGGGAGACCCCAATGGGAGGGAGGAGCCCAGCTCTGCCACCCCCACGAGAGGCCCAGGCTTCCCCTGTGATGAAACTGAGTGTGTAAGGACCCTGGGACAGTGGCCACACAGGGTTAGAAGCGTCCAGGATGGAGGAGGGGAGAGTCTAGGGCAGGCTGACTGCCTATCTCCAGATACTTCAAGGAGCTGTCCCTGGGGAAGGGAGCACACGACACATGTGGGGGACAAAGGCCAGACAGGCAGGAGGCAGAACTTGACCAGGGGCAAATCTGCAATGCCCTAGTGGTAAATTCTGGGCTAATAGAAAGAACCAGGCTGTTGGGTGCCACCCTGCCCCCTCCCTGGGGTGCTTGGCAGGTACAGGCCTGGCATGTAAAGGAACCCCATAAAGTAAACGAGCCCATAAATGCAAAGAGCCATGCAAGAGCAATGGTTTGTTATGACAGCGATCATTTTCCTGACAAGTGGCAGACAGCCCCAGGAAGCCCAGCCCTCCGCCCTGCCCCTACCAGGCTAGCTGGGGAGATTCCAGGAGGTGGGGGGGCGTGGCTACAGCAGGGAGCCGCCAGGTCTCTCCAGCCCACACCCGCTCCGGAGCCAGAACCCGGAGAAGAGGAGGGGTCCAGTTGGGGTCATTCTTCCCTGCCTCACAAGTCTCCCCTGCAGCCAAAGGCTTTCCGGGCTGGGACTCAGGGGCACCCTGGCCTTTCCCTCCCTCCTTTCAGCCCAGTCTGCCCGCCAGCACGCCCTGCCAGAGGGGTGCGGCACATCTGGCTCGGGCAGCCTTGGCGGGAGTCTCGGGAGTTGCTGGCCCTGGGTGGGAAAAGCTGCTATAACGGGTTCCTCCCTGCCCCTTGGGGCGGTGGGGGGGGGGGTTGTTGCTGAAAGGGCACGATAGCCCCAGGGATTCTCCAGCTCAGAAGTTAACCCCGAAGAACATCCCAGCTCTCCCTCCTACAAGGCTCCCTGTGGCCCAGCAGCCCCTGTAACGTGGGGGCAGGGCAGAAGGCTGCCGGCCAGTGAGCAAGGGAGCCTGGACAGGGAGTGGCCATGAAAGAAGACAGGACAAGCCCGGAAGGTCAGCTCCACCTCCCTGCCTCCTGGCCATCCACCCGAAATGTACCCTCTAATTAGACTGAGAGGCCTGGCAAGGACTCCAGATCTGGGGAGTCCCACAGGCAACTCGAATTAAGTTTTCCCTACCTCATCTCACCTTCACATAGACACAAAAGTTCCCCGTCCCCAGGCCCCCCGCTAGCCAATGGCCTGCCCAAGTTCTTGGTCACCCTGGTGGAAAACTCTGAGTCACTCTCCATGCCTCCAGCCAACCATTTGCCAGAGCTCATGAATCTTGTCCAGTTCCCTCCTGTCAGTGTCCCCCCTGGACTTGCAATACCCCTGCCTTTGCCCTATTTGGGCCCTGTCACTTCTGCCCAGAGCTGTCGCCATAGCCTCTCAGGGCCCCAACACCAGGCCCCTCCAGGACTTTCAGGAGCATAGCTACTGCTTTGTGGGGTCAACAACACACCACTTAGCCAAAATGCCTCCGTGACTTCCTGGGTGTCCAGGGAAAATCTGCATCGCACTCCCTTGAGGCAGCAGGAGAAGCAGCCTTGATGGGTCTCTTGGCCCACCTTCCAG